CCCCCAAGTGCTAAGTTTAAAACTGTTAACACCTAAACATGTGACCATGTAACCAAGCTTCATGCCCTCTTTTGGACCAGCGTTGGCAACATATTCTACCCAGAATCTGATTCATGAAGAGTGCAGAATGAAGTGACTAATTGGCACAATAATGAAGATGGGGAGGGAGTGGGAGGGGCTGGTGGTGCTCTGCTTTCGGAGTTAAGGTTCGGGAAAGGATATGTTCCTCGGACATAAATACTTAGAATGAGTGTGATAACACATAAAGAACAACCTAATCAAACACATGTTGCCTGTCAAAGAAAAGGACAGAGCAGGCAGGACTCAGAGGATGGAATCATTGCTTTTGAAGCAGCAAATTTTTAGCCTCCTAGAGACCCCTTATAATAGAGGTCACTTAATTAGCATCCCACTAGGTCCACTCCATTACAGGTGAATATGACTTTTCTGTCCTCCAAATTATGGAGTGGAATAGCAGAAAAAAAGTGTTGCTCTCAGGAAATGGCTTGCAAAAGGGGAAGAGTCTGGTTGCCCATATAACATGAATCTTTCCAGGCTTCACTGGCATTTAGAAGTAATTGTGATCTCATGTAATTTCTTTAAAAAATAAAAAAAAAAGTACAGTGCTGGGGTGCCTGGGTGGCTTAGTCTGTTGCATCTGCCTTCAGCTCAGGTCATGATCCCGGGGTCCTGGGATCCGGCCCTGCATCGGGCTCCCTGCTCACAGAAAGCCTGCTTCTCCCTCTCCTCCCTGCTCATGCTCTTGCTCTCTCTCTCACAGGTTCTCAAATAAATAAAATCTTTAAAAAGAAAATAATAAAGCATAGTGCTTTCTATGTGCTAAAACTCCCATAGGTACTTTTTAAATGCTTAATCCTGTGAAATACGTACTGTTATTATCCACACTTTTCTGATGAGGATACTGAGCTGTGAAGGAAAGAGAGTGATTTACAGCTGAACGGGAGAGCTCTTTTTTTTTTTTTTTTCTGGGTGCCTGGGTGTCTGGGTGTGACTCGTGGCCAAAATAAGCGTAGTGGGCTTTGCAAAGCACTATTTAAAGCCAGAAAGCCCAGTGGACACCTCTAGGGCCAGTCCCCTCACTGATGCTCACTCATTCAATCAGTGCAGCTAAAAACTGGGAACTTTGCCTTGAGCTTTCCCAAAGCCAAGATTCCTCATGCAAATCTTGGCGGTCTCACCTGGACAGAGAGCAACCAGCAGTCCCCATATGAATGAGGACCTGGGGAGCACATGCCAGGATGGTGTCTCTAGGACCCTTGATGCTTGGCTGGACTTTCCTTCTCCTGTTCTACCATATCACGTACCTTTCAGTAAAAGCTTTAGGTGAGGTGCTCTGTGGAACCGGGCAAGCTCTTTCAAGCATCCAAACTTAGGAACCTCTATAGGAGGCACAGAAATTAGTAACTGGCCCAAGTTCTCAGGATGGTTCATGACTGAACTAGAACTTGAAATTAATCAATCTGGCCCCATAATCACAGTGCTATGCTACTTGTCACTAACATCAGTACCTAAAATATAATAGTAGGAGGACCTCTGGGGATGTTCCCCCTGTCCTCTCTCAAGCAGCTACTAGTGTTTTGGTGAGACCCTAAGGGTATTTCCTGTGGGTTTAGAGCCTGTCCTCCAATGCTTTTCTAGATAAGACTCCTGGTTGATATCCCTGAGGCAGAATTGTACAACACCTGGGATTTCTCAACCCCCTGGTATCCACGCCTTGCAGCATCCCTGGGCTGAATGTGGAGGATGGATTTTACTCTGTGGTGAGGTTACATTATATCCATGATCGATGGCACAGGTGACTTCAAGATGTGGAGATGATCCACATGGGCCTGACCAAATCAGGCAAGTCCTGTCAAAGCAGGGTGTTTCTCCAGGTTGGGGGCAGGAGAATGCTCAGAGATGAAAGAGGACCCGAGGATAGCAAATGAGGACAGCCTCCGGGAGTTGAGACTGAGTCTCTCAAACAAAAAACAAAACAAAACAAAACAAAAAAAAAAAAAAAAGAAAAGAAAAGAAAGAAAAGAAAAGAAAAGAAAAATGAGACCTCAGTCTTATAGCTGCAAGGACCTGAATTCTGACAAGAACCTGAATGATCCTGAAAGTGGACCCTCCCCTGGGAAATCTGGCCTCCAGATCAAAGCCAGCCTGGCCAATACCTTGATTTCAGCCTCAAGAGATCCCAAGCAGAGAACCCCAGTTAGCCCTCCTGGATCTCTGACCTACAGAACTGTGAGATCATAAAGGGGTGTTGTGTTAAGCTGCTAAATTTGTGGCCATTTATTATGCACCACAGGAAGGGGATATGGTCCTTGAGCCCCAGTGACTTGAGGGAGGGGCCCAGCATGGTCACTTCAGAAAGCATCCTCCTTGACAACATCTCTGTGCTCCTGACGCTGCCCTGCTGCCTGCAGAGCCTTTGAGGGGACAGTCGGGGACATTTTCCTGCAGTGCTCCCTGGGGAAGTCTCTGGGCATCTCACAGAACAGGGGAGAAACTTCTCACGCAAACCTTGGAACCCTTCTGCCCCCAGGACCTGAGCAATACTTCCTATGCCCCCAAAGCAGCAGCCTCCTGAGGAAAACAGCTCTGGCCACCTTAACTTCCAGCTGTATTTCCACAGACCTCAGTCCCAAGCCTGACAGAAAGCCTGAGAGAACATCACCTCCTACTTCTGTTTCTCTCCTCTCCTACCCTGGCCACAGCCTCAGGGCATCCGAGCCAGACACCCAGCTCCCAGGTTTGTGTGGAACCGTGTGAGTAAGAGAACATTCTGGACGGCAGGTTTGTGTCCTCTCAAATGCATATATGGAAGCTGTAACCCTCAGTGTGATAGTACTTGGAGGTGGGTCTTTGGAAGTGATCAGCTTTAGATGAGGTCATGAAAGTGGGGCCCTCTGATGGGATCAGTGCCCTCCTAAGAAGAGGAAGACATCACAGGCCTCTCTCCCTTATGAGCACACAACAAGAAGGTGGCCACCATCTACACCACAAGAAATGGGTTCTTCCCAAACACCCAGTGTGCAGGTGCTGTGGGAAACAGAGGCAGAAGAAAAATTATTAAATTTCCTTATCCACTGACAAGCCCTTAAAACAGGCAGAGTGACACTCCTCTAGGGACTCAACTACCCCCACCTTAAGGCTTTGCTAAGGGCAAAGGGCAATCCTAGCCTGACTGATCCCTACCCCCAGCCAGGATCCTGTAAGTCTACTTTTTAACAATTCCTTTGGAAACTTTATCTCTAAACCTCCAAGATAGTGTTGGCACTCATTCCCAAGCATATGGCCCACTGATAGACATCTAAAGGGTCTCACAAAAAGGTTTTATTACTGGTAATGAATGACCTTTCCCCAGACAATAGCTAGCCCCTCAAGGTCCTAGAAATCTTGCTTCCAAAATTCTTTAGAGACTTACACCATCCCTAACCCCCTCCCCAACTTACAACTATACAATAGACCACCCCTCAACATCCCGGGGCAGCAGCTCTTCCTGCCCACGGGTCCTGTCCCCGTGCTTTAATAAACCACCATTTTGCACCAAAGACGTCTCAAGAATTCTTTCTTGGTCATCGGCTCCGGACCTCACCCCACCGAACCTCACCTATGTTCTAGAACTTCACCACCGGGGCCTTGATCATGGACTTCCCAGCCTCCAGAACTGAGAGGACATAAATTGCTGAAGTCACCCGGTCTGTGTCAGGTCTGTTACAGTAGTCTGAACTGAATAACACTAAGAATCTCTTGGGGTTCCCCCCGCAATGGCTGCAGAGAGGCTTTTAGTCTGCCTGAACATCACTGTTACCACCTCCGGGAGACCCTGCCTGGGATGGAAGCCCGCTTGAGAAAAGAAGAGTGAGTATGGGGCACGGGATGGGGTGGGGGATGGGCAAGGAGGGTCCAGAATCTTGAACCTGGATCCCATCTTTTAGACAAGACTCAATGCATGCATTTTTTTTCCCCCTGCTCAACTCTCTTTGGTTGGGTTTTTGGCATTTACACTGAAAAAATTCTGAGGAATTGTGTGGCTCATTCCTGTAGAATTCCTGCGTCCTCCTCACCCAACCTCTGCCTCCGTTTGCTCATCTCCAGCCTCCCTCAACTACCCTTATCCCACCTGACTTGCCAAAAGTCTGGTTCACGAATGTGCCTGTTTTCAGTCCCCGTTGAATGTTTGCCTTCAGGCTGAAGGAGCCTCTGCATTTTTTTATTCATTTCTTTTAATGCTCTGTGGCCTTTCCTATGCAATCTCTCCATTATCCTAGACAAACACCAACAGGTAAAAGTTTCCCGATGCCCTTAATGAAACTTCATGAACTCCTTCTTCTTAGAAAACTGGAGCCCGCTACCATGGTCAAATAGTTTATGATCCTTCCAGGCAAGGAGCTCGGGAGAAAGGAAGATGTAGAGGCACCTTAAACAAACAGTCGCCCGGGGCACTCGGTTTGGAAGATGAGACTGTCAGGGGAGAAATAGTGCACATAAAAGTAAAAAATGACTTCGGTGACCGTGCAAGGGTGTTTGTGTTGCACTTACATGGGAGATTTGGAAAAGGTCTCCAGAAGCTTTAAATGGAGGAGAAATGTCATCCTGTCCAAGATGTCATCTCTGCAGACGGACTCCTTGAAGTAAACGAGAGTTCCTACACACTGGGTACCCTGGAGAAAGTTGCTATGGATCTTTTTTTTATTCAAGATTTATTTATTTATTTGGGAGGGGGGGCAGAGGGAGAAGGAGAGAGAGAATCTCAAGTAGACATGGTGGGGGGAGGGCTCGATTTCACGACCTTGAGAACATGACCTGAGCTGAGATCAAGAGTCAGACACTTAACTGATGGACCCATCCAGGTGTCCCAAGCTGCTGTGAACTGTAACTCATTATTTTATTCCCTCCACGGGGGCCAAGTCAAACCTAGTCCTCAGATGCATGTTGCCGTTAGAAAATTCAAGATCAAGCATCATGATGATAATTCTCATTGCCCCGTCCTTGTTCACCACCACCTACTGGCCACTTGATCGGTGGCAGGCACTGGGCTACACATCTTACAAGATCTGCGAAGTGAGTAATATTAGTATCTCCCTTTGACAAGTTTCAGGTAGGATAGGGTACTTAACATCAGTTAGCTAATCTGTGTGTGAGTCATGCTTTAACCTAAGTCTCTGATTCCAAAATTCTTTTGGGGGAGGGGACCCATCCACATGAAATGCATAGTGCATGACTGCTATGATCCTAATTCACACCCTCACTTTCTACACAGACCCATATGCACCCAACATAGGCACCCACATGTGCGCACACTCACTTCCCTGCTCCAAGGGCTCCAGCTGTGTTATCCTAACCCCAGATGTTGTGTTCTAAGAAGGAGACCCCAGACACAGCCTGAAGCATAAGCAGTGATCCATTAGAGCCAATCATGGCAATTCCAACCCCCTTCCTTAATTTGCTTACTGAGTGGTCTATGATCCAACTCTGTCAAAGGAGACACAGTGAGAATACACCACCAGAGCTTCATGAAAATGTTTCTTAGATCTTCAAAAAAAAGAAGAGATGCAAGGAAGAGAAAAGGCTCTTTTTTCTGCTTCTGAACAGTGATGTAAGTTCAGGAGCCACTGCAGCCATTATGTGCTCCTGAGCGAAGTGAGATGGCATGCCAAGGATGACAAAACAGAAAGTTAAAAAAAGAAAAAAATCTGGCCTCTTAATAGTATTACTGAAACTGAACTGGCCATGCTAGATGCTATTCCAACTTGAGATTTATGATCTGAAAAATAAATCCCTTTATTTATTGAACCGCCGCAACTTAGATCCGGTGAGTCTTGAAGTCAGACACTTTTGAAGATACTCCTAATATTTCACTGCCCATTTGTGAGAATTCCAGTAAATGAGAGACCCACTGATTCACATTCTATGCCACTTCTCCTCAGTTTTGACTCCTCCCATCTTATAGGTGGCAATGGTCTGTTACTCACTAAAATATTCTCTTTCCTACAAAAATGAAAGAATGCAAGCCCTCAACCTAACACATGATTATTTAGTTATGTTGCATCAAGATGTAGCACACCCATCTTGCTGGACTCCTTTACTCCCATGACAGCCTTGAATGAGCAAGCGATCACATTGGGGAGCCCAAGCAACAAGGAGCTTTAGGAAACCTCTCAATGCTCAGGGTCCATCAGACACCAACAAGGAACTGAAGCACCTTAAAGGCAGTCTTACAGATGACCCAGCTAAGTCGTATGGAGACTCCTGACCCATAGAAACTTCGAGGAAAGGAATAGGGGTTATTTTAAACCACTACACCTGCAGCCATTTGTCATGCAGCAATGGAAGCGACCTTTGATGTTAGCATCTGCATGATGCTAAGAATGAGCACTTCCAGGAGCTTCCTTGTCTCACCCTGGTTCCCTCCTCGATGTAACATTTTTTGGCAGGTACAGAGTTTGGGAGGAAAATTTGACTGAACTGAGTCATATCTTGCTTTATTCTGTTCAAACTAGCATTCCTGTTTTTCCCCCTATATGAGGTATTAAACACAGAAGGATTAAAAATATTTAGTGCTTTTTGGTGTTGACCTAATTATATTTTATAAAAAAAAACACAGCTTAAAAAAAAATACTAGTCATCCCTGGGTTTTGTCTGTATCCATTTTTACAACTGCTCATCTACATGACCTGAGAAAATACCTATTCTTTATTTCTTGCCAGATCCTGGTGAAAACCAGCATTCAAGGAAAGAATTTAACAGTGATCAGGACGCAAGCCAGAAGAGGCAGAATTTCCAGGTTGGTTTTTTTTTTTTTTAAATATAAAAATTTCAGAAGATCTGTAGTCAGAGAAACTTGGGTTTAATTCTAGCTGCTCTATAATTCACAAGGTGTATGACTAGAAAAAGTTATTTTTCTCCTAGCCTCCTGTCCCTCATCTAAGAAATGCAGAGACCAAGAATAACCACCACATGCAAAAGCTTTCATGACCAACGACCAGGAGAGTTCTCAGCCTGGTACTCGGCACAGCACCCACAGTCAATAAGTAATAGAAAACATTTAATAAATACCAATTACATGTCAGATACTGAACCAAAACTTTATTTTCATGAGTCCATTACACTTTCATCACAACCATGTAGTTGTATCATACTCATTTTACACATGGTAATACTAATCTCTAGACGGACCAGGGAACTCACCCAGAGTTCCATAGATCCTTAGTGAATCAAAAGAGAGCGGTTTAATTTCAGGGCTGACATCACCACGCTTCCCCTCTCCTCCCCAATGCCCACTGTTAATTACTGCTCTTTAGCAAAAATTTGATTTCCCTGTACTTTTTTTTTTTTTTTTTTTTTTTAAGAACAGGCCTATCTGCTAACATGACGTGCCCTGTATTATCAGGTAATGATACAAGGAAATGTGTCTCAGGTTGTCCTTTGAGAATTGCTTTGTTGTAACACATCCGTCTCCTTCGCTTTTAGAAAAAGTTCTTTTTCTTTCTAAAGGGAGAGACTGGGGCTTCTTTGTCCCTTTAGTCCTTGTGCTTCTCATCTGATGGATGCTCCAGACGGAAGTTACAAAGTAGCCAAATATAAATCCGTGAAGTCACTGGGCGTGCCCGTGCCCACTGAACTGTCGCCTTTTTTCACACAAACGCCCAAAGCCGGGAAGGAGACCCCCTCCTCCTCCTTCACCCACTCCCACCCAGCACAGAGCAAGAAGAAGAATCTTGTGGACTTCACCCCATCCTCTTTGCATATGGATCAACAAGATTACTCCTGAGTGAACGTTGAGGGACAACAAAAAAAATGCAAAACCCTGACGTCAGAAACCATGATTATGAATAGGAGCAGAGAGAGTCTGGTCCAGATAAATATATATTAGTCATGAGTTTGATATAGATCAGAAATATTTCCTTCTGCTGTTGCCCACCCAGGTGGAAAATTGATTCCGCTGCTCTGCCAAAGCGCCCTGTGTCTGTTCTCCATCAGCCACTGGCGATCTTCATTGATATGGCACTGACTGTCTCCGGTCAGACACGTAACCACAACCTTAGTTCCAGTAAGCATTTCCTGCTGTAGGAGGATGAGGGAAACAATCTACAGGTGTTACACTGGAGAATTTCATTAAATTATCTCTCCAACCTGCCCTCAAACCAATCCCGTAGTTTACTAATTTCGTAAATCTAGATGTCGCTCATTAAAGGTAGGACATTCAAGTATTAAATTCCACTGATCACACAGGATAGACTAGTTGAAAAAGAAGCTGGATTACCTTTTTTTTTTTTTTTAAGATTTTATTTATTTATTTGACAGAGAGAGATCACAAGTAGGCAGAGAGACAGGCAGAGAGAGAGGAAGGGAAGCAGGCTCCCTGCTGAGCAGAGAGCCCAATGTGGGGCTTGATCCCAGGACCCTGGGATCATGACCTGAGCCGAAGGCAGAGGCTTTAACCCGCTGAGCCACCCAGGCGCCCCTGCTGGATGACCTTTTCACGGAACTCATATTCAGAATTTGCAACGAATATCTGCGCCTTGACACCTCAGCATCCATGCCCCCCCTTTGTGCCGGCCATCTGTGGATTTTTAAGGACATCTCCCCACTTTCCCTTCCCAGGATACATAATCAATCCTAAAACTAAACCAAGAGTCAGGCAACTTGTCCCGAGAACACTCAGATCCGGGTGTGTTATCTAAGCCTGATCAAGGAGAGTTCATGGAGGGGCTTTCTCTAGAAATATGAGGGAGAAAGGGCTCATGTTTCTTCACTGGGCTTGACTTTGCAAGGACTTGTCCTTCCAAGACCTTGACTTGTCCTAGAAATGATGCTGCAAATAGAAAAGAAATATTGTCTGGGAATGGAATCAAGAAAAGATGTGGAGTTGAGTGATGAAGAAAGAGAAGCAAGTTACTTCTGTCAGTGCAGCCCAACCTGAACTAGATCTTGCCCTGTTCTGTTCAACCGTGTGAGCCAGTAAATTTAAGTTTTCTACCTAGGACAAATTGGAATGGATATTTGACACTTGCCACTAAAGGAGAGCAAAAAGATACCATCTCTGGTAGTTGTTAAATGAAGATAGATCATTTCCTTGTCCATTTTGATTAAAGCAAATAAACAAAAGAGGCCCCATTGCACATCTGACAGGCATGGCTGGAAGCACTTTCCATCAGAGGCTCTAAGTTCTGACTGTTCCATCCGTCTGGTTCATACGACCATAGAGCGTGAGCTAAGAGCTCAGTCTACAAGCCAGAGCAGCAGATTCCAATCCCATTTCACCATCCACCATGAAACCAGCATGCCCTTTTACCACCCTGGGCTCTAGTCTCCTCATCTATAATAAAAGCATTTTCCTTCCATGGATATAATAAGGCAAGAATGGGATAATTTTTGAGAACTATACCATAGGACAGTATCTGGCATGCTGTTAATGTAAATGAATGAAATGTCAGTCTTAAAATCTCATTCACCTGGGAGCTGTCATATTTATAATAAATGTTCTATATCAACCGACATGAATATAGATCAACCACAGATACCAGTTTTTACATTTTTAAACATTTGCTTCCTTATCTAAAATCACCTCTTCCCTGCTGGGTACCCACTGCCATTTTGCTCCCCATGGTCTGCCATCCCATAAGTACACTGAAAAAAAAGCTCATAGACATGGTTTCCCTGCTTCTTCCCATTCTATCCCAAACAAATTGAACTTAGAAAGGCACTTAAAAACTGATTCACAGGCATGAGGAAACAGTCGGTTATAATTAATGCATTGACCTTACTCTATATGTATAATCCCTCTGTTTAAAAATGAAGAACATGTCCTAGTACAGAAAAATAGGTCAACAATATTAGAGTCTGAGGGACCTGCAATAGGTTCATGGAGCAGTTGCTACATGACGGAGGAAAATTACCTGGATAGAAGAAGTAATTCAGCCTAAATGGTGACCTTTTTAGGGCCTATTTGGATCCATGATCCCCAAAGAGACATTTCTAGTTAAGGGACTTAATTAGCATAGTCCTTCATTAATTCTTCTATATCACAACATCTATTAGCATCTACTTGTGTGACAGACACTCTGAGATGGGGGAGAGTGACAACAGCTGATAGTATATAATCCTTGTCGTGAAACTTTTCCCACTCTAGTGGGGAAGACAAACCCAAAATAACAGAAAAGCAATGTGATAATATATTTCAATAACTATGTTCCCATTCTTTCCTAGGAGCTATATTAAATGCTGGTGATACAAAGATGAATTTTCCCCAAAATCGTACCCTCGGAGAACTCAGAGCCACATGCCTGAGCCGTTATGTAACGTGGTAATCCCATGCAGGGCACTGCTGTGGCACATGGGAGAAGGAAGCAATTAATGATGTCTCTGAAGAGGAAGTTGGCTAGAAGGACTGAATAAATTCTGTAACAGATTTTTTAATAGGATGCTCTCTGGGGACAGGTGGGTAAGGAAGGTTTTGAGCGTTCTTGGACTAAAAGGAAACCTAACCATGACCGGATCCCCAGTGCTTAGCATGGTACTTCATAAACAAAGCTCAGCCTTACACGAAGAACCCAACTGTATCTCTTCCTACCCCTGTGACTATAAATTTATTGGCTGAGAAGCCATCTTCATATAACATGGTGAAAAGACCCACGCCTGTGAGTGGATGTCCGCTTTCCTCTGAAGAAGGCACCTTCAGGGAGCACAAAGGAAAGACTGTAAGACTTTCTCCAGGGGCAAAGTATTGCCATGGGCAGAAAGTTAGATACAATCTAAGACCTCTGTTCCGCTTATGTTCCATGAACAAAATCAACGGTTTACTGCAAGACAGCCTCGTGTGTTTGCAGAAAGGGGCTTGGCATCCTTATATCTCAATGAGCCAAAAAGGAACAGCCCCAGAACATAAGCTCCATGAGAACAGGACTGGGTCTAATGTGGGTGTTCTCAGAGCCAAACCAAGTGACTGGCACAGACGAGGTGTTCAATAAGTAATCTCTGCACAGATGCCTGATTTGAAATTCAAATGGTTGATGATTTACAACCTATAATTTCCAGAATGCAGGGGGAAAATGATCGCTCAAATGCCGTGGTGGAAATACAATTTGCTGTGAACCTTACGGAGAGCGTATTTGGCAATCTGTATCCAAAGCTTTGAACATGTGTCTCATCATCGTCACCATCACCATCATCATATAAGCTCAATACCTCTTAGCGGGTAATGCCAGGCACTGTGCCAAGTACTTAATATGCACGTGTTCATTTAATTCTCCTCACAGCTTATGTGCTAGATATTCCTAGTAACTCCAGGCTCACCTGCAAGGAAGCATTCTTGGAAAGAGACATGGCACTGAGCTACCCAGTGAGCAAGTGACTGAACCAAAATTCAAACAGAGCCACATCTAATGGGAGACTCAGGCATCTCACGGCTCCGGGACATCATCCCCACACAGATAATGTAATGCATTTTTTATTGTGCGTACCATTTCCACTAATTATATGAGAATAATTCTGGGCTTCAAAACCCAAAGTGTAAGTTTTGCTTAACGTTCCTGCCATGTCATTTTGTGTCATGCTGAAATTATATTTCTTAAGCCTCTCGTTCACATTTCTTCGCAGAAATGTCATTTCCATTCAACAGTTTGGAGAATTTGGGGGACAACAAAACAGCTCAAAATTAAGCGTCAGGTGCCACATCTGTTCAAACCTATTGGTGCCCCACACTGCAGACCCCTGCTGGCTGTCTCTCTTTTTGGGTCACCTTACCATTACATTTCTAGAATGAGCTTCTTCTACACCAAGTCACCCCTCTCATTTGTTTTTATATTCACACCTACAGACCTCCACTTTAGGCAAACAGGCCATTCAGTGAACTGGCTTTCAATGAAGTAGCCCATACTTCCTACTCTAGGGCAACCAGGGGAAAACATGCTGAATTCTTTCATTATGCAGAACAATTGACCTC